TGGAATACCCGTTCACATTCAGCTTCTTACTGTATTGAGGTTTTATGCTGTGGGTAAGTTCGATCAGTCTTTACGTTTTGTACATTTTTATAGACTAGTCTAGTCTAACACTAGATTAGAATTGTTATTTAAAAGATACCCAAATTTATACATGTTCTTCCTGTGGTTGGTTTTGTGTGGTTTTTTTTAACAATCCAATGAAATCAGACATCCAAATAGCAAGATTGAACTTTGAAGATGTGCGGCACGGCATTTAATTTGTAATATCCGTCTAGCCTGACCCTCCCGGCGCGGCAGCGTGTGTTAGCCGTCATGCGATGCAATCATGCACGAGCAATTCGTGTATTCTGGGTGACTGGCATGCAGAAATGCAGTGGAAGCTAAAACAACTGTGCATGGTCCTTTACTTTTATTTTGCATATTTTTTTTGTAGTGTTTGTAATAATTGTAACGTGACCTTGGCCACTCTGTCGGATTATGAGACTGAGAATTTTCTTTATCAGGCAGTGCATGCAGCTCTTACTTCAAAGACATCTTGTCTGCTCATGCAGCGCAGGCCTAGACTATACTGCTATAGAGACCTAGATCTAGACCTCTAGATATATACTGTAATTTCTGTTTTTTTCGTTCGTTAGCCTCTGATTTGGGTAAGGTCTGCTCCTCATAAAGAACGAAAGAGACAGAAATTTCTGTCTAAGGCCATGTAAAAAAATATACATGTTTAGCGTCCCCGCCCGCTTCCTTTTGGGGGGCCGACTCCTAGATATTTATTTATTTTTTTTTTTTAAAGAAAAAAACATGAAAAACACTGCGAAAATGGATCTAGATCTAGATCTATTTCTCTTAAACTGCCCCCATACAATTCACCCAGTGCCACAGTGCTAATCCCTATTGTGCCAGCCACTAATCTCCTGTGTGCCAAGTTAATTTAGGGTTGGTTCAATTAGCGTGTTTACTTATGCACGAAAATGTGTACGTGGCACGCGAGCGAATGAGAGTTTATGTGTGCATGGCAAGTCACCAGAAACCCGATTATGTGAGCGTGGCACACCAGCGCATGCACGGAACAGTGTTCTTGGCACGCTATGAGTTTTAAAAAAATAAAAAAAATGTCGGCGGCCATCTTGAAAATAGCCTGACTGTGAGGGAAAATGTACCGAGTGGCCATTTTAAGAAAAAAAGGAAAAAAAAGGGTCTCCTCCCTATTTTTCAAAAAAACAGGACGCTAAACATTTTTTCTGTTATCATAACATACAGTAATCTTAATTGGTATAGCAGGCACGTAGCCACTGGGGGAGGGGGGGGGGGGGGTCACATGCCCCCCAATTTTTTTCCAAGATCGATTGAACTTTTTGTAGACTCCTCCCCAGGACGTCGATCAATTACATGTATGTGCCCCCCCCCCCCCCAAGCATCAAACTCTGGCTACGACCCTGATTTGGAGGGCCACAAAAATTGTGAAATCAATTCCGCGGGCAAATGAGTAAAATAGGGTGTTTTAACAGCAACATTTAACATTGCAAGTGGCACGATAGAAATATGTAGGTCAGTGCCTGTGTCAGTGGTGAATGAGCCAAATTATGATGTTCAAAAACACATCACAATAATTCAACATAGAATTTATTAGAAAGCCAGTTGATAAGGAGAAACGCTTTATGAATAGATGCATTCAAGGGAGGGGGGTGGCCTGTAACCCCCCCCCCCCTTCCCCAGTGAAAAAAATACACGGGGGCTCGGGGCGAATTAGCCCCCAAAATGCCAAAAAGAGCTCCCGAAAGTCTTAAAAGAGCCCTAAAAAATGTGCATAGAGTTCAATGCAAAACAAATTAAAGATTGTTATTTTCATACTAGCAAGCTTGAAAAGTAGCCCCCGAAATGTTTAAAGTATTTTTTCCCTGCCCCCCCCCCCCACGCACACTTTTCAAGAAAGAAATGATAATTTCTATATTAATAAATTATTGTTTTATTATTGATAATCCATTCTTAAATACCGTTAAAAACTTAAATTGCTTAAATTTACTCAATTTTTGTTCATGTTTTCCCAGGATCGTTCCAGCTCCTGCATGGTGATGAAATAGGTCTATCACAACCTACATTGTCAAAACTCATAGCAGATGTCTCTTCTCAGCTAGCAGCCTGGCGTAGGAGATACATTCATTTCCCGGACCAACTTCATGGCATTCAACAGGCATTCTACGACTACTCAAACTTCCCTGGAGTCATCGGGGCAATTGATTGCACACATGTTCCCATTCAAAATCCTGGTGGAGAGTTTGGTCAAACATTCATAAATCGCAAGAGCAGGTCATCGATTAATGTTCAGGTAAACAAATAAATGATACAGGTCTACTGCTGTTTAATAAAGTGTAAGCTATTTCCAGTTATTGGCTTTCCTGGAAATGAAATCACTCATTTTTTTTTCAATATTGAATATCCACCACTCAGTATTCAAGACTTTCAAGTGTGATATTTCTCTCTCTTTTTTGGTTGTGTTTACTGAAATGCAGGCAGTCTGTTCATTTGACGGCACTTTGACGAACATCGTTGCTCGCTGGCCAGGTGGAACGCATGATTCCAGGATATTCAGAGAATCAGCGCTGAAACAAAGGCTTGAACAAGAAAGTCATGAGCCCAGGTGGCTCCTCGGTGACAGTGGGTACGTATTTTTTCCTTAGTCCTCAAAATTTGAATTTAAAAGGGGTAATCATTCATTGTTGTGAGAAATCCTAAGGTTATGGGGACACTTAATTCACTTTACTCTTTAATCCCATACCATTAGAAATCGAATTTTGAATACCGGTAGCTAACTCCTCTGCATCCAACTGGGTTGGGTTTCAAAATGACCACCTGGACATGTAATCATTGTTCCAAAATGCTTGTTTTCATGTTAGTTGATGAAGCTTCTCTGTCCATATATGTTTTTTTTTACTCATTTCCATTGTGAGTTCATCCACAAAAAATAAATAACATCATAGGGGTGTTAATCCATATTGCCTTGTAATTTTATAACCCCCCCCCCTCATAAAATATTTTTTGTTTAATGTTTGAACATCCGGAACTTTCATTATTTTTTCTCCTGTATTATAGTGTTTTATGAACTTTATTGATCTCTGCTTTATTATTCAAATGGATCACCTTAGAATAAATGGCATATGAAAAGCATACAGAGGATGCAAGTACATATCCTATAAATCCATGATAAATAGATTACAGAGTTTTATCATGGATGTACTTTTTCATTTCTTTATAGATATGCCTCTCAGCCATTCCTCATGACACCTCTTCTACATCCCGGAACGGCATCAGAAGAGCGTTATAACAGAGCACATAAAAGAGGTCGCAATGTGATTGAAAGAACATTTGGTAGAATGAAGCGAAGGTTTCCCTGCCTAAATGGTTTACGTTTGAAGTTGCAAACAACACTTACAGTAATTGTTGCAGTTGCAGTACTGTGGAATATTTCTATTCAGCATGGTGACCCAGAAGTGGATGGAGAAGTGCTGCCTGAAATTCTTGGTGACCATTTGCCTCCCCCTGGTGCTAACAACTTAGAAGGTCAATTGAGAAGGCAAAATCTGATAAGAGAGCATTTTGCATGATTGAGAGAAAACTTATCTGATGACAGTACCCACTATGTACTGTTTCAGAAGCTCAATTCACTCTGCAATATGTTCACCATCCCTTTATTCGCTTTCATCGATTAAAACATATGGGGTGGTGTTCTACTATTTTATAGTTCCTCTAAATATGAGGGATGTTCCATGAAGCTGCTCTTAAGATTTAACTTTGGGTATGAACAACTTCAAGAATGTCTAAAGGTGTTGAAACATAAATGAAATTTTCAAAAATGTTCTCTTAAAAATTGTAACCAACTTCCATTGTAATTCTGATCATTCAAAAAAAGAAGAAAAAAAAGAAAACTGTACCAAAACTACTGTTTGCATTAAAGGTAAAGACCAGTATTGGAAATGTCCCAATTTCAAAAAATGAAATGGAAGCTCTTATTACCAATCATGTGAAAGAATATGTTTTGACCAATACATGATGATAGAAATTTTGCCGGGAAACCGCCTACTTATTGATATATTTGGTAAATTAGTTTATCTATCGGTGTGTGAGAGATAAACGCATGTGTCGTCCCATATACATCTTTCTGTGTACAGTGCTTGTAACTTAACGAAGACTGGGCCAAATTTCTTATCATTTTGATGATTCCAGCACCTTGCAGTACACACCAATACTTATATGCTAGGAGATCAACCTTTTCTGATCGATTCCACAACGTTTCTTTCACAATGCAATCGTGTGACCATAACTGGTCTTTATCTTTAAAAACGATTGGTAAATCATAAATGAAATTATCCACCGTCATGTATTTAAACTTCATCATTTTAGAAAAAATATATATCTAAAATATATAAGTGCTCATACAATGAAGAACAGCTCAAAAATGCTCAATTGTGTCGGATACGGTGGAATCACAAATCACAGCGCCGCCTATTATCACTAGTGTTTAGTGATGTTTATTACTAGTACCGGTAATGAATTATTTGAAATATTGACAAAAAATAAAAGCTGTGGCATATCAGATTTATTTGAACATTCTTGATGGAGAATGTTAGGAAAGCATATCTGAGGTCAAATTTTTGTGCTTTTTCTAAAAACATCAGTCTAATTGACTGATGACTTACCTACTTATGACTTATGGTAATTTCATTTGGTTGCTGGTATTTTGCTGCGCTGCATCGGTTGGGAGTCGTCAGCCAAAGAGCTGAAAATTTGTCCTGTCGCGGCTTGGTGGTTGTGGAGATGTCAATTTTGAACCCACTGTATTATCACATGCCCTCCAAATATTGTTCAAGTCGAGATCCTTTTATACAGAATTGCACAGTATTCATTTGTAATATTTGATAACATGTTTAATCTTACATTCAAAGTGCCAGACATTCAGCAAGGAATTTTAATGTAACAAATAATTCACAGATGCACAAAGTACTCGAATTATTACCCCTTTAATGTCTATATGAAAGATCAAATGATGCAGTTGCCAAACGAACCAAACACAACTATATTTCAAGTTGGCAGTTCAGTTGGTCCATTTTCTTCAACAGTACTTTCTTCTCGAGTTCGAGGATTTCTACTCTGAGAGAATGTTCTTTCTCCATGTGTTGTATTTTGGTGTTGTGCTCCTGCAGCGCCAAGTCTTTCATCACTTCTTCCAAGGATGACTTAGGATGGGGGGAAGGAGATGGTGTTCTCTCACTTCTCTGTCTCTTAGATTTTGTCCTGAGAAAGTGAAAAATTGATGGTATTTATTTAATTATGTATTTACTTATAAATATATAATTGATAATTTATTAATTCAGTTATTGCTTAATTCAATTACAATGTTTATTGTAGTATTCAAACTGCAATAATTCTGATGTAATTGTATTTATTTCTTGCCTACATAAATTTATTTATTGTAATTTGTGAGACATTGGTATACAGTTTTAAAAAATGTATAAAGATGATGGAGAATAAAATGTGATTTTTTTTTTCCTTATCAATAAATTTGCCATCAAGAGATTCATGATTTTTGTACTGAAATTGCCAATATTATTAACTATGAAAGTTAGTCCTCACCATGGGGAAGGAAGTGCTTGGTTGCTTGTTGATGTTGATGCAGAGTTCCAGATGGAAGGGGTCTCATTAAGAGGATGACTTGGGAGAGAGGGAGTGACAGTGTGTTGTTCTTCCAAGGATGACTCAGGATGGGGGGAAGGAGTTGGTGTTCTCTCACTTCTCTGTCTCTTAGATTTTGTCCTGAGAAAGTGAAAAATTTATCGTATTGTTTTAATTATGTATTTACTTATTACTGATAATTTAGTAATTGAGTTATTGCTTAATTCAATTACAATGTTTCTTGAAGAATAAAATGCGATTTGTTTTCCTTATCAATAAATTTGCCATCAAGAGATTCATGATTTTTATACTAAAATTGCCAATATTATTAACTATGAATGGTACTAGTCCTCACCATGGGGAAGGAAGTGCTTGGTTGCTTGTTGATGTTGATGCAGAGTTGCAGATGGTAGTGGTCTCATTAAGATGATGACTTGGGAGAGAGGGAGTGACAGTGTGTTGTTCTTTAGTCTCTTGACGTCCGATGAACTCAGGGTTGTCGTCAGAACTAGTTATAAGAATATAAACATACAACAGTATAAGTAGAAACTATGTGTATCCATTCTTACTGCAACCCCCAATACAAATATGTATCACCCCCCCCCCACACACACACACATGTATATACCTCCTCCCCCCCCCCCCCCAAAAAAAAAAAATATATATAAAAAAAAAAAAAATAAATAAATAAATAATAAATAAATAAATAAATAAATAAAAATAAAAATAAATAAAGTAAAATAAATAAATAAAAATAAAATATTTAAAAAAATAAAAAAAATAAAGAAATATCTAGTTCATGGCAAATTCATAATTATTTTTTTTCAAAATGTATACTATAATTTCTGTAAGGCCAGATGAGTAATGTGTATTTTGGGCATATAATTCATATCAAATTACAAATGAGAATATGCTTCCTTAAAATAATAAGGGTTATATTCAAGAAATATGTTTCTAGTAAATAATGTAGAAAGATTGCCAGAATTAAAAAAAAAGAAACCCCCATTACCACAACAACAGAAAAAGACAAATAAATAAAAACAGTTAATACAAACAAAACCTGTGATCGATCAAAGCTGACCCATAACGCAGTTGTGCAATTCTAAACTTTTTTCAATTGGGCATTGGCGTAAAAAATTAAATGACTTATAACAAAAAAAAGCTGAGACCAGGTCCATGCGCGCTGAGCTAGCCTATCTCGAGCCCTGGGTCCAACTATTATTTAAGGCCGTATAGGCTTTGAAAATGGATAAATGAAATAAATAAAGCTGAATCCAGGTCCATGCTTAGCTAGCCTATCTCGATCCCGAGGTCTAACGGTTAAGTCTACATAAGCATTGAACATGGACTTGGTCCTACTGGAATTAGATCTAGGACTAAACTTTTCAGCATGCACGTTCGTACGTACGTACGTGCAGCACCTGCACGGCAATCACAAAGTGTGTGTGTGTGGCCGCTCGCGCTATACGGCGCGCCGTAGCGCGGGCGGCCACACACACGGCGGTCCGTCTAGTCTATATCGTCTACAGTATAAACGCGCTGATGTTTGAGTTGCGAATCGATTCAGATTGTTTTTATTTTTGTATCCGTCAACCAGATTTAATTCGTGATATGAAAAAGTAATGTAGACTTCTACATTAAAAAAAACCTAGCTTGACTAATTGCATGTCTAATTTAATTACATGTAGGGGTCTAGGTCTATTAGATGATGTCTCGTTCAAAGGCTGTTTATTCAGACAATGTGTAGACTAGATCTAGTTTCGTTTATTTAGGAATGTGATTATTTATTTACTTTCATTTCATTCCCTGCTTTCTCTCTCTCTCCCTTTCTCTCGTTATACCTCCCCTTTTCTCTCAGCCTCTCTCTTCCTATCCTTTTCGCTCTATCACTCTCTCCCTTTAATCAGCTATATGCCTTCCCCTACTCTTTTAGTTCCTGCAAGTACATCCTTTCATTTAATGTATATAAACAAGCACAAAATAATTATTTGAATTGTCATTATGCTATTGATTTAGATCTATTTACTAATGCTACGCTTTGTAATGAATATACTGCAGGCTACTACTGTACTGTTCGTAAAATGACCTTTTCAGCTTTGTGCTGCTGGTCGATAATTGTATCAATTAATAACATAATAAATAAGTCAAAAATAATAACTTACTAGGTGATTTCGAACTCCTGAGATAGATGTATCACTTTCGCCTGTTTCGGGGCTCCTCCAAGATACTCTAGGGCAGACACTGCTTCATCATTGTATTGCGTCACCGACGCATCGTCATCAAAAGGATTGTGTATCTGCTTGAACTCGTTTGGGATGATGTCCCGCAGGACGGAGGTCATCTGAGAGATTTTTGCCTCCACTTGACCTCCTCCTGTTTTCATTATAGCCTGTCTATAATGGCTCCATTCTGTCTTGGCAGTTTGCTTCATCCTTTTCCACTGTTCCAAACATGATTTTGCCCCCCCTTGTCGAACGTATCGGGCATGAAATTTTTCGGAAATGTCATCCCATGCACTTGATTTGCTCGACACAGTTTCGAAGTCATTCCTCTTGGATTCCACGATATGCACTCTTTCTGAAACTAGTTGAAGGAGACAATTCTTTTCGTCCGCTGTCCAATTAGCGGACCTTGGACCTCTTGGTTTGGAAGTATGTGAAGCCATCTTGGGAGATGAGAGCAGACGATACAACGATACGCTATAGATCAACTGAGCATGCGCAGTAGAAGCAGACTACATCACCATGGTGAATAATCTGTGGTTGAACATTAAGCTCGGATTAAGATTTAGTCTAGACTTAGTCTGAGGGTTAGCTAGACCTTGCTATCAGAATACCAACAAGAGATAATCTACACTTAGTATGGAGGTCCTGACTAAGTGCTGATTAACTAAGCTCGGGCTAACTTTAGTTTAGAGGAACTAACTATAAAATAGTAGAATACCACCCAATAAGTTTTAGTATGTTCTTTGTTTTTTGTTCTGTTCTTTTGTTCTCGTTTTCCGGTATGTGTGTTTTTAGGGGTAGGCTTTTATATAAGGAATCCCTCCTTTCTGCCTATCCCAAATGGTCTTATAAATTGCCATTGTATTTGTTATCACTTTTTTTTTGTAACTCCATTCTGTATTTGTATGTTTTAAATGTTTTTATGAAGAGTGTTGACTAAACTTTGAATTTGAATTTGAATTTGAATAATACAGTGAGCCCAAAAATATTAAACACAAGGCGAAAGCTGAAGACTTAAATGCACAATATTTCATGTCATTTCATTTATTATAATTTGTTTAAATCTAAATGATTATAATTATATTTGAGCAGAACAATGACTAAACATTGGATAAATGGAACTAACAAAGAGAGAAAGAGACATATTATTTGCGGGGTACTCATCAATTATTTTGTTTTCATTGTTATTATCATATTGACTGGTAGGGGGGCAGTTGTAACTGGAGCGCGTGTCATCCAACGCAAAAACATTATCACATTATGAACCAACGTCTCTTAACTCTAAACTATTATAAGTACTATTACCCTCGCTTTAGCTCCGGCAGTTGTAGCCCCCAATACATTCAAGGAATAAATCCAACTAGGTAGACCTACATATTTATACCCACTTCATACACCAAGGTTTAGCGTGACAAACATAGATTGATGTCTTGCGAAAATAACTCATTGATAACAAAGTGGAGGTAAGAACTACATAAAATTATAATACGTGAGCCCAAAAATATAAAACACAAGGCGAAAGCTAATGACTAAAGGCTTGTATTACATTTCATTTCATTTATCATAACTTGTTTCAATATACATGAGTATAATTATATTTGAGCAGAACAATGACTAGACATTGGGTAAATGGAACCAACAGATAGAGAAAGATATATATTATTTGCGAGTGTACTCAATCATTATTTTGTTTTCATTATTATTATCATATTGACTGGTAGGGGACAGTTGTAACAGGAGCGCTTGTCATCCAACGCAAAATCATTATCACGTTATGAACCAAAGTCTCTTAACTCCTCTAAACTATTATAGGTACTATTAACCTCGCTTTAGCTCCGGCAGTTGTAGCGCTCAATACATTCAAGGAATAAATCCAAGTAGGTAGACCTCCATATTTATACCCACTTCATACACCAAAGTTTAGCGTGGCAAACGTAGATTAATGTCTTGCGAAAGGACTTAGGTGCTACCGGAGGGATTCAAATCCCGTAACTTTTGGTTCACAGTCCAGAAACTTATCCACTAGACCACATCACCTATACTTCCAAATGCAATATCAAAACTCTTTCGATTGAATACATAACATAGAAATAGAATAAACAGTACCACAAACAACTTCCAATTCAACATACAACAATGTTTAATTTTGCATGAAGATCAATATTCTTGATTATAAAAGACAAATATAGTTATGAGTATCATATCATCATTTTGGCGAACGGTGTATTTTTACTTATACATAGAACTGTACAACCGTTATTGATACAGAGTCCTTCAACAACATACAAATTGGCTTTCAAATAGATGAATTGGTCTGTCTCTAAGGATTTTGTCCCAAATTCTTATTACAGGTCTGTGCTTTATACCAAAAAAATCTGATATTTAAATAGTTTACAGTATATTTATCAAATATATCATGTACTGAGAGGATCCAGTCGGGATGACTAGGCAAAGCATCTGAAGAGTGAAAAAAAATTGTAACTATGCATGTCACAGAAGAAAAATCCATAATTTTACCGTACGGAAATGTTGTATCATCCGCTCAATCTGACTTACGTGCATAGAACAAATAAGCATTTTTGAATGAAAAAGTGAAGTTTTCTAAAAAGTGTGTTTCTTACGGGCATTGGGGTGCATATTTTGTTTGCGATTCGCTACAAATAACGGTTAGCGTGTGCTCTTCAACTGTTAAAAAGTGAACTTTTTCAGTTAATTACGCGTAATGTTACGGTATAGCGAAAAGTCAAAAATATCAAATTTTTCATGGTTGAAATAATTAATATCACGTGAGCCATCCCTGACCATTCCATGCACATAAATCGTTGTATAAAGGTTATTGATGACAATACCACGCGGGCCTCAAAGGTACAAAGAGTAATGTCTATACATTATTGTACATCTAAGGAAAATATTATAACAATAACTTGCACATTTAATACTGCATTTATTTTCCCCCTTGAAATGCATGCAGACACCCCCTCCCCCTCCCAATTTAGTTTACAATATACCCTGTCTCGAGGCGTTCTGGTTGAAACTATTGGCAAGAGGTGACTCGAATAGTAATATTTGCTGAATCTACAGCCCCGAAGTAAATAGTACTAATGGAGTCCCCGAGGCTCATAATTATAACCAGTTCCTCGAAAGGAAGGGAGGGTATACCTTTTTTTAATATCCTGCATTAAAACAATAACAAAACGAAAAAAATCGAAATTTAAGCATTTCTTTTTAAACATTAAACAAAAAAATTTCAAACATTTTATACACAAATATAAAAATTTGACATGCTACAATTTTAATAAAATATTAAAGTAACACAAAAATTATCAAACGAAAATGTTCAACTTCCAAATAATACACCAAGATAGTACTACCAAAAGGGCTTCTCCAGAGCAAACTTATAAATGGTTCAAATATTTCTGGTCACGTGAAGAACTCTCAACAAATCAAAAGCCAATACATTTTTATGCAAGATATAATACACTTTATAAATACGCTATACTTATATTTAATACGTTATTAATTGAAATAACAATATCCTATGTTTAACCCACGTCCTATAGTATGGACAATACCAATGTAAAAGACTTGTGCTTAAATTTAAGAAAATTACACTTTTTGATACCATTCATATACAATGTTCAAATTGTAATATATGTTTGAAGTGCTGTTAATTTAATATAGTTTACAATGACAGTGTGTAATAATTACTGTATTTAATTTTTACATTCACCTTGATATGGTTAAGATATTATTGTTGTACTCTAACCCTCCGAAAGCGTGCCGAATCATTTCAATTGAACTCAAGTCATGAAACCGAGTTATAAAATTTTGCCTATAATATATAATTAACGGATGCACCGATCAACAACCAAAAAAAAAAGAAATTAGAAAACGTAATTAAAGTAATGACAACGACTAAAACTTATATAATAATAACGAAAATAATAATGATAATAATCATGATAACAAGTATATCAACAATAATAATAATAATAATAATAATAATAATAATAATAATACGCTTTTGAAATACATCTAAAGTTCTATTTATGGAGGCATGTCTACGATTTTTTTGGAAAGTATTTAGAAGCCGATAACATGCGGATTTGGAGAGGTCTGGGTTACCATCTGGAGAAAAGATACGAGAAAATAAAATTGATACAAATTGATACAAATTAATAAAAACGGTCACAAATTGAAAGTTATGCATTGTTAAGTTACTGTAATTATGTATATTTGATGAGGATCATTTTTAATAAGTCATTTATGTGCTTGTAATGGTCCTTCCACTTCAGATATCTCATTAAATGTGTTTGGTCATCTTTGTGCATGGCTGATCGTCAACAAAATGGAAGTCTTTTGTCAACTCTGTTTGTTGCTACGGCAAACAGCCAGTGAAAATGAATTTGTTTAATCATATTATGGAAATGCTAGCATTACTTCAAACTAACAGAGCTTTGTTATTCCTGGCTCATTTTTCTGATTGAGGTGTCATATGAAAGGGCAGAAAATGAACTTTCTATTAATGTGATTTCCTCTTTGGAATTCAGATACCGCCCACCAAATGACTTGTTGATACCCTCATTGTTTTTAATCACTCATACGTGAAATATGCATCATAATGAGTTGCATCAATTGAAAGAAGAGGATCTCAGCTTTTTCTATATGTAATTTATTAATTATAAATGTTAATAAATTGTGATAAAACATCGATAATTCTCGGTTTCGTTTGTTCTGGGACACACTGTATACATAGCCCATTCTCCATACACCTGATCGAATGCGCTTTACAATTTTGTTGTTGAAAGAAGATGTAAGATTTTATATATTTTTTAATGTATTGAGAGATTGCTGGTTGAAAAGCAATATCGGTAGGTTATTCCACTGTTTGGTAGCAGCAGTTATGAATGCTCTGTCACCAAGTGTGGGTAGTATTTTGGGAGACGGGTGGTTCAGTCTTGAGAGGAGCGAAGGGAGTAGCGGGATGGTTTGCCTGATAGTTATATACAGTATACTTTTTTATTCATATACATTTTGTATATACTTTAAAATGGTTATACTGTGTTTATAAACATATTTATCAATAGTTATATATGAAACAAATCACTTACTTAAATTTCATAAATAGGACTCATAGTATCACAGTGATGGTATATAAAATCCAGGTTCTTTTAAACTTTTCGCCAATGGCGGTTTTCTGAGTTTCCTTACCACTGTCTTCCCTTCAAGTACCTAAAGCCAACGAAAGCACTGAAGAACGCCATTATGTTAAGCCCAGTCATCACACACACTGGAATGACGATAAACTGAAAATACAATACAATACGATGTAATCAAATAAAATAGGCATTTTTGTCGTGAGGCAAAACAATGGACCATTTTCGTAATGTAACCACATTTATTATTAAATTGCCATGTAATAAATTATGCCATTCACCTGTTATGGATAATTGTATTTCAGAAGTCCTAATGCAAATTGTATACATCAATTAGTTGCTAGGTAGGACAAACATTATGGTTTGCTTTACCTAACAACACGTATTCAATTTGCATTCTGACAATTGTAATACAATTATTCGTAACAGGAGAATGAAATAATTAGTGACGAGGCTCTTAACAACGATCTGTCCATTAAATTTGATTAATTTACGTAAATGGCCTATATGAATCTCGTATATTTCTCCGGTTAGTTCAGCTTTGACAAATATTTAATTCAGTTGCCAGATATAAATTTTGTGTGGTAATGTGTAAGGCAAGCCATAATGCTTGTTTATGTAATCATATTGTATAGCACGTGAATATAATAATAACTCGTTTCGAGTGGAATTTGAAAACTGACTATAATTGACAAGAATATTTTGGGAATTAAAACAAAAGATGCGCTGCTTTGATGGTCAGACTATTATGATAAAACATGATGGGATATTATTTTCATTTGAATCGTTTCTAACCAGTAAACTGAACATGGAATCAACTCTGACAAGCAAAAAGAAAGTCCCGACATCTCTGAATGTGTTTTCTGGTGATCACGGTTATAAATTTATTTATTTGGCATATTAATATCCTTTAAAGAAGAATCCTTTCATGTGACTTTCCTACAATGACAGTTTTTCACATCGGAAGAAAGATATAAAAAGCTCAAACATTCATATTAAAGTCAGGTCAAGATTATCTTTTATCATCATTTCTCTTACCAAGCAACCTTCTTGGCAGTTCTCAAAAACACCAGCTCTCACCAAACGGGAAATTGCAGAGCAGTAATATCCAAATCCTCCAATACTAGCAAGACCCGAAATTATGCAAGACGTGAAGAAACAATTAATCTGAAATAGTTTCAACAGAAGAAAATTCAATAAATCAAACAAGTTTTGTGTATATTTTCCCGTCCGTTGCTATACGTTACTTTAAAATGTCGCGCCCAACCCAGTCCATGACATATCACACCGCCCGTGTTGACCAAGCTTATATTCCCGAGTTCACCAGTGTACAAAATTCATTTTAAAACTGTTTATCTACGTGCGCCTTTAAATCTAGACCTATTTGTCATACTCAGATGTTGATATTAAGATGTTAAAACAATATTATTTATTTAATTACTATTATTCTTATCAGGTTTTCTGACCAAATTCACAACCATTTTATTACAATAATATAGGTTTTCCCGCCCAAATTCCTTAAGTTAGCATCCGAATTAAACGTTACGTTTATTTATATGCGTGCGAAATTGAATGACTATGACTATGATCAAAATTCAAAAAGCTAATTGGGCCGTTCAATTTGATTTAGTAGCATGCAATTTCATACTCTTGTCACGGAGACGTGCAAAACGAGCATTCAATTTAGAAAAGCGTGCAAAGAGCATTCAAATTCGTGCCGGACAGACGGTGGTATGTATTCGAGCATTACATTTCGTTAATAGAATTATTGACCGCTGCGCCGGTCCTCCCGTAGAGTATAAAACACGCTTGCTTACATTAGTTTTTATCACCTGACGAAGTGTTGCAGCGGCGCACGAAACGTCGTGATCTTTTAAATCCCTTATTGACCACATTGCGAGACAAACGAAAATCACTAGCGATATTATTTTCGATAGATATAGGTTGTCTGTATGTTTGTTTCTGTCTCTTTGTGTTTGGAAATGGGCTAGTAAATGATAATATATGATAATGGTAATAAAAGTACTACACCTTAGAGCACTGGCGTACTGGTGGGGGAGCTTGGGGGTGCGCCAGCCCCCCCAAATAAAATTGAACCATGACTTATTTTCAATTCCATATACAAGTGATGTATAAATGTTCGTGATATCACATGATTTTCAACAAAAGGCGCGTTTCTCGATTTCTGTTGCAAACTGACACATTCCCAAATGGCCAGAAAGAGCATAATGTTTTTTATAGTCACAAACAGTAACACAAGTAAAAAAAAAATCCTTTCCAGAAGCATATGCAAATGAATTCAGACAAAAACACGATATAACGAATCGTCTTCTTTCTCTGACAATTTAATGAAACGTGAAAGCTTCCGCGCTTTGCGCGGGCTGGGCGAATATGAATTTAAACAAGGATTAAGAGCAATAGTTTAATGAAATGTCAGAGTTTCCGCGCGAGATGGGCGAACGTGAATTCAGACAAGGATTAAGAGTCGGAACCGGTACAATTAATCGTCTTTTTTCTCTAGTAATTTAATGAAGTGTCAAAGCTTCCGCGCTTCGCGTGGGAGGGGGAAAACTGAATTCAGACAAGGATTAAGGGTAATAATTTATTGAAACGTCAAAGCTTCCGCGCTTCGCGCGAGATTGGCGAAAATGAATTCAGACAAAGATTAAGAGTAATAATTTATTGAAACGTCAAAACTGCCGCGTTTCGCGCAGGAGGGGGGGGGGGTGAATTGGATCCAAACAAGAATTAAAAGTGAAGAACGGTACAACGGATCGTCTTCCTTCTCTAATAATTTAATGAAGTGTTCAAGTTTCCGCGCTTTGCGCGGGAGGGGGGAGACTGAAAAATAACTTAGCTCTGGCCCCTGGTTTATAGGGTTAAATTTGTAAACATTTGGACATTGGCATTAATATATTTGTCGGTAATTGGTTGCTAGTTTTGTCGGTAATCGGTGGCCTCTACACCCTCCCCACTCCCCCACTGACAAAGATCTAGCGACGCACCTGATAACGACACAGTTTATACACTCGAGATAATTTGTGCAAGTATTACTGGTGAAATACCGGACCATCGTCTTTGTGCATTGTGCGGCATCAAAGCATATATACAACGTCGCAAGACGTGAAGATCACTTTTCTCTAACTTCTAACAAATCAGAAGTCTTCGTTTTTTTCTAGGAAGTGCCGGTGGACATTAATGCGCCAAATGTGGTTCTCAAATTGCAAAAGATCCCTACTCTTGGAAGGGGTCGGAGAAAGCAATTTTACGTCATATTACTCGAGGAAGTGTCTGAAAATGCGTCTAATTTGGTTCTAAATTTGCAAATGCTTCTTACTCTGGGAAGGGGCCACAACCCCCTCCCAGAACCACCCCCGCGTGGTCGCTCCGCTCCCTCGCCGCTAAAGCCTCGTTCTGTCGCTTCATCGTTTTACATATATTTAACCCAATGCCATTTTTGTGCCCCCCCCCCGGTAAGAAATTCCTGGATCCGCCACTGATGCCCCTACCCCTTGAGCTTCGGTGGCTCCTCCCCTTGACCCCCGCCGGGGCTTTGCCCCCTAGACCCCACTTTGCGAAACGTTCAGCGGGGCCTGCATGTTAGAGTGGGGGTGCTGCGGATTTTTTTTTGTCAGCCCCCCCAAACGTTTTGCTCATTACGCCACTGCCTTAGAGCAGCTGGCCGAACAATGACAAAGGTATAACAATTGGGCTGACGGAGTGGGGTAAGGATGGATATGGGTTGGTTGAAGGGTTTATCCAACTGAAAGTCTTCAAATTACCTTTCTCGCTGTTGAGGGATAATCACAGTTCTAGAAAACAACTCAAGTTTTGTGAAACCAGTCATTAGATGAATGACACACCCAATTTTAGGGGGTCCCATGATAGGAAACTACCCCCTCCCCCCCCCCCCCCGAAGATAGGGGGTGGGGGTCGGGAAAATTTGAACCTCATCAATTTCTGATAGCTTGGACCCCAATGAATCCAAAAATGCAATAAAATCAATTTTGGCACAAAAGTCATACGGGAGCTGTTTCAGTGACATACCGTACCACACTATAGACACCGCAATTCGCCAAAGAATTCTCATCCAACTCACGAATGACCCGTACGCACTTCCAAATTGACTGAACCCAGCTCTAATCTGAATGTGTAAGTTTAGAAAATTCGGTGTCTCGAAACGAAATTGAATGCAAAACGTTTACAAATGGAACAGGGGAGCAACGAGTGGAGAAAATTGGCTCGAACATGAATGCACGTTAATAAAATTGATTGCTGCTTTGACGAAATTGGCCGGGAAAACCTATATTCTAAGTTTATTTCAATCACAGTTTATCCATAATCTATTAACCCTATTATTGATTTCTAAAAAGAAACATAACATAATTACCTTGCATTTATGTATGCAGATTGTCCCAAGACCGAATAATGCAGTCGCAAAGTAGAGCTGGAAAAAAGAGCAAATAAATTAACTCATTTCATGCCGGGCGGCGGAGCGTCTTAAAAAGTGGCGGTGCAACGACTAAAAATGGGACTTTCTGGAAATCGTGGCAATTACAAATGGTAACCTTAAAGCTAACAAAAAATGTATAATTATACAGCTTGGGCATTGGTTTAATTTCTCTTTACATAGTCCACGATACTGCTTCAGTTTTCATACTATGCAATTGTTTGTGATTGTCTGCATATTTATGAGTGAGCGAGCGAAGCGACCAAACTGAAATTTAAAGACGTGTGAGGTTGATTAAATCATATTTAGATGGAATCACCATTCCTGGAGTGGCTTTAAGTACTATCTCATAATGGAAGAATGGATGAGACCTTTTTTTTGCTTAATGAGATACTTTAAATGCAAGTGAGTGTAACGGGCGAGGTTTGTTGAAATTCGAGAAGTAAAATGCTGTCAGTCGCTTTGATTTAGGTGCATATGTAAGAAGAAGGCTGCGAGAAAATCTATTATTTTGTGGGGCATGAGAGGTGGTAAACAGATGATATTTATGACACGAATGACATGTGGTCGTGTAATTGCATTTCCTTTAGTTTGAAAACCCATCTATTGTTTGAACCTTTATATTCTTCAACAAATGGCAATGCGTACGCTAGACTTTAGCTATGAAGTTAAAAAAAATATATATGTCATTACAAAGATGAGAGTTTTAAAATTACATCCTTTAGCAGTCGAGTTGAATATATCATGTAAATTGATTTATATGTTTATAAACAGAATATTGATGTACATCAATGAAGTTTAATAAAAACAATACACTACAATACATGTTAGTTTTAAGGGGCTTACGTATTAGTGTAACATACAATGATGGGACAGTTTATACTATTTAAAAACGGGCGCAACTATAATCTAAAAGGGACAAAGTTCATTTTATTAAATTTGGGGCACTTTGCCCCCTGCCCCTCCCCCCGTCGGCTACTGATTTGCATCGTGGTGGTATATCTCAAACTTACACCACATTGAGCGAAAGCGATAATCTGGTAGGTGTAGACGGTAGATGTATCAAGTGTATAGACAATGCCTCCACACACTGCCGAAACTATGGTGTATAGAATGAACAACACCGCTATACAGATGACGGTACCCGCACCGGAGTTTTCAGAAGTGCCAGCCCGCTACAAAAATGATTAAAATGAAACAAGTGCAGTGAGAGGAAAATATGGGGTGGTTAGCCAAATGTGTTATTCTATATCCCTTTCCTTTTAATTTTCTGCAATTGAAAAAAGTACTTTCTTGGGTAGTAAATTCATTGAATGCAACTGTTCTATAAACTCAGCCCTCTCTGTTTATCTCTGTCTCTCTGTCTTTGTGTGTGTGTGTCTCTCTATTTCTCTCTCTTTGCATGCATGTCTCTTTCTTTGTCTTGACCTCTCTGTCTGTATGTCTCTCTCTCTCTCTCTCTGTCTCTCCCTCTCTCTCTCTCTCTTTACCAATCTCTCTTGTATAATAATAATGTTAATATTCCGCTTTTATATAGTCTTAATACATTGTCTCTAAGCGCTTTACATATTATATACTATTACCCCTATCTATTAGATAAAGTGCTTGCCCGCACACACTGTGTGCATAATCTCCACTCCCTGGGTAGCATTCCAGGCAGAAATTACTTGACGCTCAACAACTGTTTGACCAACAACGACGTTCGCATCCCACCATGTACCTTTATACCACCTGGTTGGAGAGTAGCAAGTGCAGGTTAA